ATCTCCTCTTCCCCCCACCCACCCCCGCATCCCATCTCTCCCTCCCCTTGCATCTTCTCCCACCTCTGCCCCACCCCATATCCCATCTGTCACTCCAGTCTCTTCCCTCCCAGCATCTCCTCTCTCCCTCATCCCCCCGGCATCCCTTGCCCCATCTCTCCCCCCCATCCTCCCTGGTGAGGTGCTTGAGTCTCTCCCCTCAACAGGCATCTCCTCACGCTCCCTCCCCTTCCTTGTCATCCCATCCCTCCCTGCACCATTCAATCTCCCCAAGCACCTCACCACTCCATTCCCAGATATCGTATTCCCCCCCCCCCAGCCCTCTGCCAAGCACTTCAACCCCCCGCTCCCTCCAGGCATCTGACCCCATCTCCTATCTGTCCCCAGCTCCCTGACAAGCTGATCCCTAGCCTGGTGAAGTATTACTACTCCTGGAAGAAGACAAGGAGCCGCACGAGTGTCATGGACCGACAGGCCCGCCGGCTGCTCAGCAAGAAGGAGAGGGATGACAGGTGAGGTGTGGGAGGGGGGAGGTACAGGCATGGGCAGGGTGGGGGGTTCTGGATGAGGAAGGGGGGCAGGCTAGATGGCCACGGAGGGGGTGGAGGGCAGACAGTGGGGACAGGGGGTTTGTGGTGAGGTGGAGGGCAGGGGCTGGGGGGTCCGGTTGGGGGGCAGCCTGGGGTTCTTGGTACCATCCCCTCTAACCCATGCCATGCTCCCCCCAGTAACGACGAGATGGAGGAGGGACGGGCAGCCAGCGAGGGGGAGTTTGATGCCATGGACCCCAAGAAGGAGGTGAGGGGTTGGGGGTGGGTTGGCTCACAGGCAGGTGGGTGGGAGAGGGCACATCCTCACTCGCTTGGGCTCTGTGCTGAGGGTGGGAGAGGGGACCCTGGGCTGCAGTGGATCATTAGAGGGCAATATGCTCCAGGGGTCAGCATGGGGTCAGTAGGGAGCACTGTGCCATGGGACGGTGAGGGGGGTGCTGTGCTGTAGGGGGTGTTGTGGGAGGAGCCAGTCCATGGCACTGTGCTGCAGCAGGGGTCCCTAGGGGGCGCTGTACTCAGATCAGCTCCATTCCCTGCCCAGCCGAGCTACCAGAAGCTGCCGAACAGCCGGCCGGGCCCAGGATCGGGCTCAGGGCCTGTGAGGAAGGAGGCGCAGCTGTCGCAGTATCGGCACCACCCACTGCGCTCACGCCGGCGCCCCCCC